GGGGGGGGGGGGGGGGAAGCAATTACTAAATTTTCCAAAACAATTATTTACAATAAATTAAGTGCTTTGCATATTCTGGTGCACAGTTTTTGCAAATTCTAGCTGTCTCCTTCTCCTAGCCTTCTTTCCTTCATTTGAGTGAACTGTCGGTAATGATGAGAAATGAAACGAGTGAGGTATATTTGAATGATTCAGGACATAGCACGGCACCTATCCTTCAATGTACAAAATGGCGCATGGATGTACTAGCCGCACATGGTCTTTGGAAGGATCTTTGCATAAAAGTGGTGCCATATGGAAACGCTATGCATGGACGTATGAAGAAGGGTAGAGAAGAAAATAAGTAACAGGAAGCATGCCAGCACTAACCCCTGAGTTCAGACTTGTACGTATTTAGTGCAATAGGATATAATTAAAGTTGTGCATAAACTTTAGTGTTGAATAATTGAGTTTTGAAACGACCTCTTACTGCCAGTTAAATAAGAGCTAAACAGTAAATCCCAACAAGAGTAGCACGAAATAATTTTAAGTGGAGAAATATGTCAAAACTTCATGATTATTCACATTAGGAGTAAGGTTGGTAAAAAAAGGTGTAACATTCTGTTCCGAAGTTTATGTTTACTAAATGCCTACTTACAGCTGAAATACCACTACTAGATACTAACAAAGTAGTACATAGCACATCAGTTTGTTGCTTATCATCACAGATTTTCCAGTTTGCTCTGACGATTGGAAGACGTTCACTCTCTGAATGTAAACCTATTGCGTTGGTATTGTACTGATAATCTCTTTTATTCTGGATTGTTGTTACAACTTCTTCTTCGCATTTCTCTGCTTACGTAGATGTGTCATAAGAGTCAATAGTCTCCAGTATTTTCTTAAAGCATGATGTTCATCTGTCTCAATTCCTCTCTGATTCCGCCCATTCATCTCACCTTTGGCCTTCTTCGTAGTCTTTCCAGCGACCTCCAGAGAAAATGGAATTTTTTAAATGTGGGTCTCATCTCTTTTAATCACATGCCTGTACGATCAAAGTTGCCTCTTGCATCTTTATGGCGATTGGAGTGACTTCGCCCTAGCTTGAACCTTATCATTGCAGACGAGGTTTAGCAGAGTGACACCCAATATCCACCACAACATTCCGTCCTTGGCAGTAAACTTGTGTTACTCATCTCATGTACATGGCTATGCCATACAGCGCTGTTGGACGGTTCACAGTATGGTACACTGGTAATCGTTATCATAGTGCT